CCCCACAGGCCTCCTGGTGCCCATCCCTTAGGGAAGGGCTACAAGGGCTCCCCAGCAGGATTGTGAGGCCGCTGCTCTGCCCCCCGACAGCCTCTCAGCTGCTCCCCGTAGCCCTGCACTGCTGGGGCCCACGAGGCCCTCAACAAGGAGGCTCAAGGGTGAAGCTGTCTTTTCCTGCTCCGCCAAAACCTTCAAGATGTTTCCTGTTCTGCACCGGGGAGAAAACAAGATCCCTTTGTGCCTTTTTTTCTTTCCCCCAGAATTAAAAAAAGAGAAAAGAAAGAGGGGGTGAGAAGGGCTAGGGACCAGCTGAGAGCCTCGTGCTCAAGAGCACCCGCTGGAAACGGAGTTCCCGGCTCTGACTTGGGCCTGATTCTCCCCCGGCGCTGCCAGCAGCTCCCCCAACTCCGGTCCTGCCTGTGTCCGGTGGACAGAGCCCTGTGCCAGAGCCCCTGAGGCTCTGCCTCAGCTGGGAGCGCTGCCGGCGCCGGGCGCCGCTCCGGCCGCTCCGCCTGCGCCTCTCCGCCTCGACCACAACTTCCACCTTTGGCTCCAGCCGCCAAACGCTGCGCTGGGCTCGGCACCGTTAGCCAAAATGATGAAAAAATCATTTCTCAGGCAACGCTGGCTCGCGCGGAGAGCGCTTAAACGGCCTCCAGCACTGAGGATGTGCAAGTAAATAAAATACATAACGCAGCGCACGCTGGCGTTGGCCTCCACAAAACCTCCTGACGACTTCAGAAAGTCAAGAGCAGGTTTATGGAAACCACATGCGGCTCCCCGGGCTTCGGAGCAGCTCCGCGCCGCGGGGGCCGCGCTCACAGGAGAGCCGGCCGTCTCAGCACCTAATTAAGCGGCTCTGAATGATGAAGCAGCCCTGGTGCGTGCAGGAGCCGCTCAGAGCGCGCCGCGGTGCTAATTGAATTATTTCCCCCGCGTGGCTCCGCGTTCCTCCTCTCTCCCGCGCTCCCTCCCGGCTGGCCTGGCGCCCCTTCATAGCCCCC